CTGCCGCTAAACAAAAAAAGACGTGAAAGACATGGCATAGAAATGATGAGCACCCTATGATTCAGTCTAGAAACGTCTCTGAGGGCAGTTTGGACAGGGGGTGGGAGGAATTCCGCACGTTTGCTGCTTCCCATCCTGGTGTAAAACACATAGGGAGGCCTTACTTTTCCGCTGCGGGAGGCCCTACTTTCCCACTGGGGGGGTCATGTCGCTGTTGGGGGGGGTCGTATGTGCCATTGAGTCGTATGTGCCATTGAGAGAAATTTGCCTGCCGTAGTGGGAAAAATTTTTCCCGGTTGTTAACTTTTCGTGATGTTGTGTACTATATACGTCCTACTCGATGGAAAATCTTTGGGGTGAAAAACTGGAAAATGTGGGAAAATTGGTAGGTAAATGCTGGGGAAGGGGGGTCATACCGAGACATCCTTTTGGGTGGAGGGTTGCGCTGACACCCTCTAGAGGGGTGGTCGTACCTACACCACCATTCACCATTTCACGCATCACGATGCTGTCTACAAGTTTCGGCTGTGTCTCCATACCTGCGCAATGAAACGGCAATGGGAATCAGCGGAAGTGCAGTGCTCCTTTCCCACCATTGCCATCACCCATTCTATGCCTGTTAGAGCAATTGTCGGTGGGAAAAGGGCTGGTGCTGTGCCAAAGCCAATGCGAGGTTGACACGCCCCGACTGTCTTCAGTGATAACGACTACACTTCGTCATACGTTATGCCCTAGTGCGTAACAGATTTTTATCTTCCCACAAAACGCCACTATTGACGTTTTTCGCCCCAAAGTGATATAGAGCCTCTCAGAGCTCACACTGCTGCTATCAGGGGACGGGCAAGAGAATCGTAATTTGCCGCTCCGCCGCGCGCGGCGATGGGCGCGGCGTTTTCATAACTCGTTTTAACCTGTCGAATGGAGCACCGGACTTCATGTAGACCCCGTCATCGTAGACACTCATTACTGTTTTCGGTCCTTAATTGCATGTTGTCGCCATCTACTGCCTGGAACCATCGTCCTTTGCAGACGAGACGTCGCACGCGACGCCCAGCAGCGCGGCGAATTACGATCCTCTTGTCACATACCCCTCGCCAAACGTTTGCAGTTGTACACGAGAACTTTGTTTGCTCCAATTTCGCGCTCCTCAAAAAAAAACTCGGAAAAAGTTATCTGTTTCATTAAAATCCTTATCGGGCATGACTGCGAAGAGTATGGTTAAAGGCCATGTTCCTACACGGTGAAATGTAATTCCAGACGGCGTGACACACATGGCGTGTCATAGATTTTTTTCATGTTTCACATGTTTACTTGACATTTGTTCATGTTCTGAAGCTATCAGACACGTTTTCAAACACGAAACACATATACCTCATAGGAAGGTGAAAAACACACCAAATTATTGATTGTCGATGTAAAAAAAAATGACGGAAATAATGCGGAAACCTCCGTAGGTCGGTTTCTTTCTGCTGGTGAGACTCAGAAAAACCTGACACTGCGCGTAGTAAAAAAGCAGAAGGAAAAAGAGAAGAAATATTGAACGTACCTGCTCCCCCTTTGATGAGCTAAGTGGGACAGCCACATTGATCCGGGCGGAACTTCACTGCATCAAAAGAGCTGGAAGGTCAAAGAGTCCACCATCGATGAAACCCTTTTTGGGATGCGGCAGGCATTCCACTTCCATTTATAGTGGCTTCGTGGTGGTTTTTGAATGTGAATTGGCCAAAGCAACGAATTACGAGGGGGAGCTATTGTAGACGACAGTGTTTTTATCCTCCCAAACGAGTCTGGTACCAATTATTCGAGGCTGATGGTGGTGAGCCTTGAAAAAATGCCAGTGATGGAAGGCTCGGGTAGTTGGGCGGGAGAAGTCAGAATTATTATGTCCTCCGATGTCTGGCATCAACTCATCGTCCCGGGAAAGTAGGAAAATTTGGCTGGACTCTGCGGGAGCGATCCGGTATTCCATCCCCGGATTATGCGTGTGGTAAGCCTGCCACTTGCCACTGCACCACCTCTGCCTCATTGTAACATTATATAATTACTACTCTGTAATTAAAAATTATTTACCAGTATGTGATATCTTCATTGTATAGTCACTGCTGCATGACGCTGTTTGGGGGGGGGGGCACTTTGCACTTCAACGACTTCCCATCGACGTGTCGACCCAATTAGAGAGCCTCTTTTCGAGTTGACAGGTTTTACCATGATGGCGTGACGAACTTGCTCCAGCTTCACAAGAGTTCACAGGTTTTACCAGAGTGAGACTTGTAAAACTAGTGAGGCAACAAAAATGCAAAATGCTCCCCGTCGGCAAACCCCCCCCGCGCCCTACTGGCATGATATTATTACTAACAGTTGCTATTTCTCCTAATATCATAGGTTTTAAAAGGAAATAAATAAGTTCGGAATGCCATTTTGAAGAATTTTTCGGAATTTTTTTCGTTCCTGTATAATCTGGTCAAATTCTTCTTGTAAGTTTTTCTGATATTCTTCCTTTCCTAAACTAAGACCTCTTGAACCTCATTTCTTTCTCGCAGTGCCTTACCAAGCAACGCTCTGAGGCACTTGAAAGTCTCGCGAAGCACGACCCACCTTCACTAAATCTCCGCCCCTTGGCAGAAATAAAGAAGTAATTTGCCAATCAATTGCCGCACATTCAGTGTACTAAAAATTCGTCTTGGAAGGTATATTTCGGAGAATGAGCGTAAAATGAATTTAGAGAGAAAAGTGTTACAAAAAATGCTAAAACAGAACCTCCGGAAACTTCCTGAACCATTTTGATATGCTTTAGGTTAACGACATTTCGTCATGGCTCATTACTATTGATCTTTCCGAACCAGTTCTTTGAAGCACGGTCGTAAGAGCATGTCCTTCGGTTTCTCACTTTTTGCAATCTCAACATGGCCGTTACAAAGTTGTTACCTACAAACTGCTCTGCGAGGTTGTAGGAATGCGGTTTCTTAGGTGGCTAAGTGGTTCTAAAGCTTAAGGACTGCGGACATGCGCCTTTTCCTAGGGGTGCAACGTGTCCAAGCGTCAAGTTACCGGGTCGAATTAACACTACAACTATTGTAGGTTCCAAACCGGCGTTTTTCATGGTGTGCGATTCATGCTTAAAGAGCAATTCCCGCATAATGTTAGGGTAGTGGGTGCTGGGTAATGAACCAGTAGCCCATATGTATCTCCCCGAGGAAAAAAGCAAAAAAAAATTTTTTAAGAGCGCTCTGAACAAACACTCTCTTAGCAGTGGGGCCAGCGCCTTGGGCGAGTTTGTCGGACGTCGGTAAGTTCAATCGGCAGAATTTGACGTGCGAATTTCCGGCAAGAGCACAGGAAATCACCATACGACGTTTCAGGGAAAACTGCGACGTTGAAGGTGAACTACGACGTTTCCCACTGAACCCTTTCACCAGTGCCAGTGAAGTTGGCAGTAATCATTCG